TGGAGTGTCCTCTTTTTGGACACTCAAAATATGGTAACCCTACATTAAAATGGCAATTTTTATATTTAATATTCACTTGGAGCCAAACGGTGGAGTCCTTCGTTATACAAAATGTCCATTAAATAAATGTTAGTTTTGTTTGGTTAAGGGCACCAAAATTTGATCCATTGTGAGTTGAATCCGTGATGCGCAGTAATGATGACAGGCATAGAGTGTCTTTATTCCTTTGTGCTTGTATCCCATTTTTGAGCATTTGGCCTGCCAATATTTAAATCATGATGGATTAATTGTAATACAGACTAAGAGTCTGTAGAGGATTCGTGCTTAAATTGGATGTTCTATAATCTGCTTTTACTTCCTGGAGTTGCCACACACTTGCTACATATTTCACTAGACTGTTCATTAACTTGAGAACACATTTAAGATCTTCTCTCAGAGAAACATGGAAGATAGCTCATGTTCTGAGGGCTGTCAGTTACATTACTGTTCCACTAACCTATCCAGACGAGTAATAAAGCCATTATTTTTACTGCCTTCTGAAAGGTATGCTGCTCTGTTATTTTAATTGCAAAAGCTGCTGTTAGAGGATACAAGATCAGATTCAAAAGAATAATTGTGTTGTTTATGACTGCAGTCATGGACAAAGCTAACCTTTATGAAATTACCAGTAGTGATACTGTGGAGAGAACTGTAAAGGAAATAGACTCTTTAAAATAAAAGGAGGGGCTTCATTAATGTTTTTCCTTCCTTTAGGAAATAAAGAATTATAGATGATTAATTATGAATATTAAGCAGTAATGTTTTATTTTAGCAAACAGAAAAAGTGTCTTGCATTTTAAAAATTAAAGTTAATAGTCAAAAGATTCTACGTAATTTTTCATGGTCAAAAGAAGTTTATAACTAATCCTTTTCCCACATAATGAACACTTATTTTGTTTGTATGTTTTTAGTGTCTTGAAGACTTTTATCCACGATCCCCTTGTAGAGTGGAGTAAACCAGTGAAAGGTAATACAAAAGCACAGGTGAATGAAACTGGGGAAGTTGTCAATGAAAAGGTCAGTTGCAAGAGGTTTGATCTACTCTAGAACTAACATTTCATTATTTTATATTTCACAGTATCATCAATTGTTTTGTTTTAATTTATGCAGAGCTTTACTTTCCTGGGTTTTTTTCTTCTAAATCTATTCCAGCTGTTTTTTATTAAATATCTCTTTGCTGTTGTTTAATCCTTAAAATATGAGACTGATATTTCAATAAAAACCTTCATGAGACCTACTGTACCTTTTTAGCATCATTCTCTAAGGCTGTGTCTATACTGGTAAAATTAGGACCCGTAAGTACAGCTCCATCTGTCATGGAAGCTTAGTGTAGAGAGGGCTCATGCATTTTTACCAACACGTTATCCAAAGCTACTAGATGACATGGTGATGATGCCACTTGAGCCCTGTCTGTGCTATGGATTCCGCTGTTTCTACCATCAGTGTATCTTAACCCAGTAGAGCACAGTCCCCTCCAGAGTCTGGAATGGAACCCAGTCTCTGGCTCAGAGTCTGGATTGGAGTCTCTTGCTCTTTTAACAACCTAGCAAGTTATACACATAAAACTACATTTAAAGAACATTATTCGGGAGTGCCAGCTCTGCAGTAGTTATGGTTGAGCAGCATTGTCTGTTCAAAGGTCCACTCTTCTAAGTACTGTAAAACTCACATGCTTACATGGATTGTCTTGAAAATTTCTGTGCCTTATGGGGACGCTGGCTAGAGTTCATGATCTAAATTTGGATAATGTAAGCAAGAGATTCCAAGATATGAGATCCTGTGGGGGGGAAAGGGTATGTGAGCAGCATCAAGCATGTAATTAAAGTCTGTATCATAATGGGGCTGAGTTAGTATAAGGGGACTGAAGTAAGTTTGTACAGCCAACTTTAATTCTGGCATTTCCTAACTCTTAAGAGCTTGACCGTACAGTCTTACTGTTCTTTTAACGTAGTTTTTTGTGTGTTATACAATATACAAGATAAATGAATGAGTGATCTTTTAAGGAATATATAGCTTCTTTCAGTGTAAGTGTGTGTGTATGGCATAATAGTTGTGTGTTTTGCCTGTTTTCATTGTTGAGAATTAGTCAAAATACTTTATTTGGCTCAAGTCTGGTTCATACTTGCAGACTCATTTTTTGACATCAGAGGAAAACTCTTCCAATCTGGCCCACATTAGATCAGTCAAAAAAAAAACCAAAAAAAAACCACCCCACCATTTTCAGGTAAAAAATTGCTTTTCTGAACATAATATGTTTGAACGTTTTCTGGAACATACTTTTTTGACTACAGTTGACTCTTGGCCTCTGTGTTACTGAGCCATATGCATATTGTGATAATGAAAGGATTTATATAGAATAAACCACATTTCATTGCTACTTGTTTCAAGAGGTGGTGCAATAGCTTATTCAATCTTTGATAAGGTCTTGTTGTAAAAGTAATGCTAAGGCTATCGCTTGCCCAACAAGCAATCAGTCCTTGAGAATGATTTACTTTGTTCATTTTCTTCAAACTATTTTCAGAAAAAGTTCATAGATATTTGTATATTAAATCTGTTTATGTGGGATCTGGAATACATGCTGTAATTGTCCAAAATTTTATTTGGAAGAACAGGAACGGTTTCTGTTACAGATGTGACAAATGTATGGACATATGAATTTTAAGTTTTCTTTTTCCTTGTTCGTAGGCCAAGACTCATGTCCTTGACATAGAACAGCGGCTACAGGGTGTGATTAAGACTAGGAACCGGGTAAAAGGATTGCCCTTGTCTATTGAAGGGCATGTTCATTACCTTATTCAAGAAGCAAACAATGAGAACCTGCTCTGCCAGATGTACATGGGCTGGGCTCCATATATGTGAAATACTGCCTTTACAACTTATGCTGCTATAATTTTTTTTTTAAACAAAACGTTGTTGAATTCTTTTAGTCACTGTAATATTTTCTACAATTACTACTTTTGTTGATTTCTGATTTTGGGCATATCTATATTGCAACTTAATATGCAGTCTATGTAATATATACTATATAGTTGTAGTACATATGCTGTGTATGTTGTATACATATATAAATGCACTCATTGCATTGTATGAGTTTGAAGATACATACATTTATACATAGATATTTGTATTTATGGAGACTCTGTTTTATGTATACAGAATACAATAAATGAACTACTAAACAGAATATACAGTCATTTCAATGATGCAGGTGTGTGGTTTCCTATATACTTGCATTCATCTACAATATTTATGAATGTGTATGTATACTCCCACATCTAAGCAGGGTCAAATTAGTTTTATAAAATGTTTTTTATATATATATTTTTTAAGGGAGGGAGATAAACTTATTCTGTTTCTAATTAATTTCTTTTGTAGGAGACGAGTTGATATTAAAAAAGAGAATGTATATAAAATGGAATTTTATATCAACATGGTTGAAATGGGATTTTTAGCTGTAACTGTATTCATGTACCTATTTCAGAGGGTTTTTCCAAAATTAGAAACTTTTTTGCAAGATATTCATTCTCACCTAGATTTCTGTGAAGTTTTGCTATTGCTCATGGGAAGCCCTCAGGCATTTCAAACTATTGTATCAACTAGTAGCACCTGTTTGACCTATTTTCATTCCTCTAAACCACCCAGTAGAGCATAATATGGCGTGTGTCACCAAGAGGCAGATTTATAACGCACAAACTCCTCCAATTGAAAACAATAGCATTTCCTGATTTAGCCTTCTGAAGTGACTGAGATCATTCATGCCCTTAATTTCCTTCTTTTACTTGTACTTTCTTGTTTTTACACCCCTCCCCTATGCTAGAAAACATCATTTTGTGCACTCAACCCCCCTTACTTTGAGAAAGTCCTCAGCCCCCACAAACACTTTTTATAGCCTTCCACTAAGAACCCAAATAGAATGAAATGTGTTATACTATGACCATTGTTGCCCCTGAGCACCATTTGAAAATAACACTCCATCTCTACTGTTCCCATTTCCCACCCCCACCAAAAAAACCCACCTAGAATTACAAGGTGCATACATAATCTGAATTAAAGTAATCAGATGGCCTGTATTCTAATTCCCTGCTCTTTGCATATGTATTATCTAACTTAAATTAAGATCTTTGGGGCAGAGATCTAGAATTTGTCTGTGAAGTGTCATGAACATATATGGTGCAGTAGGAGTAATACATTATAATGGAGAGAATCATTCCTTGGGATCTGTGCACATAATAGCCCCTCCACGCATGCTGGATCTCCATCCTTCTGAAAGTAAAGGGATTGAGGGGCCTTTGTGTTACTGTCCCTTCACACCATAGAAAACTTTTTGTTGGTGGGGAGGGGCAAACTCATGACCAAACCATAATGTGGGGAATCTGCCAAAATGTTAATGTATCCTGAAGCTGCACTAACGTCCTTGCCCCAGCCTGCCATACTGTGAATCCCTATTAAGGGAAAACGTAGAGAAGTGATTAGAGGAATCTTTAGCACAGTGACTCCATTGCTGCAGAAAGAGCAGCCCCTCAGAGACATTGCTCAGGCACAGGACCCCCTGCTTTTAGCATCTGGACAGAACCCCTTGTTTCCTCCACTGTTGGCAAATCTATTTCGCGTTGCTTTCTTGTAGGTTTTCCCATGTGAAGCAATTTTCCAGCCCCTGTTATTTCCCACTCAAGTCAGAGACAGTTTTTCTAGAAACAAAAGTAAGTAATGTGTCTTTGAATATATTCAGTTTTCACTGATGGGAGAAACAAATGTCCAGAGTGCTTCCTAAATCAGTAAAAAAAGAAAGTATTAACTGTGCGACACTGGGCTAGAAAATATTGTGGCAAATCTAGTATATAATTTTTGAAAGTTTCTTCTGTTAAAGAGGCAGGTATACATGTGTAATAGTCCTTAATGTAGCAGCTATTGTTCTGCAGCCAGATGCAAATAGTCATTCCTAGTTAATCTGAATTTCCAATAGGTTGCAATGCCCCTCTGAATTTAAATACTATGCAGAACTCTAAATATCTTTTTGCCATTGTTCTCCTGGGAACCTGGACGGTCATCTAAAATAAGAGAACATTAAAGATGATGCTGAAATGGATTAATGCCGTCCTGTGAATACATTAGCTTGCCCAAACCTGCTTCCAGGTATATTTGTTTTTAAAATGCCATCACTTGGATCCTATGCTGGGTAATTTTTGTACTACAATAAGTGTATGATACATCAAATTGAATGCATCAAATTGATGATGTATGATATATCAAATTGAAATGTAAATAACACTGTCGAGCTAAAGCTAGCTTGGAGGTTCTTATACTGTTTTACATATTCTGATTAAGATCTATACGTTTGAACTATAACTATAGTTAACTATGCAGTTTATACCCAGTCCCTTATGAGCCCTGTTTTTTCTAAATACCTGTATCCTCTTCAGTATTGCCTTATTTATTTGTTCCTTCTGTTTCTCTTTCCCTTTTTAATTTTTAAAGGAATTTGTGTGTTTTTCAGATGTCTCCTTCTCCATTCTCTGCTTCTTATGCAGTCATCCCTAAAACCTTGTGTACAGATGCTAGTTTCTTCTCTCAATTCAATATCTCATCTCTCCCTGGTACCCTTCATCCTTGGTATTTCCTCCTTTCCCTTCTAATTCCTCTTCTGTCCTCCTTAAGGGGGCCAACGGAGAACCCTTCTGGGTAGGTTGGTGAAAAGGTAGCCTCTTCCTGGGAACGGAAACCATAAGGCCAAGTGACCAAAAGCTACAGGGGAACCCACTGTGCTGTAGTCACAGCACAGAGTGATGCTGCAAAGCTGTATTTTCTGCTGGGCATGAGCCTAGCTGATGCCTCCATGATATCAATGTAAAAGGTGCTGTGCAGCACTGCACAACTGTGCAGGAGGGAAAAGGAACTTCTGCACACAACTGATGACCAGTGCCTATGATAGGAAGAAGCTGGAAACAATCCCACTGTGACAGGTTGGACCTCCCATCTGGGATGCCACCTGATGTGCTAGGGTCCCATTCGTTCTGCCAGTTCCACCAACCTGGGTTTCTTCACCCTGTATTAGCTCTGCCAGGCCCTCAAGCTTTCTCTGGCATACACACAGGTAGGGACACACCCAGCTGCAAGTGGACACAGAGACACTGAGATTAGCTCTGTGTGGGAGGAATCAGCTTGGACATTCACATGCACACCTCCTTTGGGGTATAAACCCAAAATAATAATGTCTTGCACTGTAGAGAACTCTATACAATGTAAGCTCATAAATTCACCCCCTCCCTCAATGGGGAGGAAGATATGCACAACTTCTTGCCCCAGTTTTAAATTATAAATTGCACAAACTGGCTTTTATAATAAAAACAAGTTTATTAACTACAAAGACAGATTTTAAGTGATTATAAGGGATAGCAAACAGAACAAAGCAGATTACTAAGCAAATAAAACACAAATATGAAGCTTAAAATCTTAGAGACTGGTTTCAAGAAGTAATTTCTCACCCTAAATATTGCTTTTGGGCAGAATGCAGGTTAGCTACCCTGCTTGCAGCTTAAATCTTCAGACACCATATTCAGAGACCAGATCCCTTTTCCAGACAGGGCTCATCTTCCCCCCGCTGTCTTTCTTTTGTAGATCTTTCCAGCTGTCATCCTGGGTGGGGATTCAGTGAAGAGTGAACCAAGATCAATTTACTCCCCAGCCTTACATAGAATTTACATAAGGCCGGAATCTTTTGTTTCCCAGTCTTGACCTGCCCCTCCTTTTAGTGGAAAATCACTATAAGTCCAAGATGGTGTTTAGTACCAGGTGACATGACAACATGACCAAAGCAAGGTCCCAGGACACTTCTCAGGGCCAGCACATCCCTTGGCCTGCACCGCTTCCCGCAGCCCCTATTGGCCTGGAGCGGCAAACCGCAGCCAGTGGGAGCCGCGATCAGCCGAACCTGCGGACGCAGCAGGTAAACAAACCGGCCCGGCCCACCAGGGGACTGACCCTGGTGAGCTGTGTGCCAAAGATTGCTGATCCCTGGTGTAAGTAACTCAGTGATCCAGGAAACCTAATGGGAGCCTTCCAGTCCTTGGTTCATATCTAGCTCAGCTCCTTATTTAGATCTGCCTTGCAACATTCTGCTCCCCAGGCCTGATCTACACCTGGAAAAGTTTTGAAAAGTTTCTTGATTGCTAATGCTGTTTTCAGCATCCTGTTTATTAGCTCTTTTCCCAGCAGGGTTAGATAGCATGGTGCTGAGCCAAGCAGTTGTAGCCATTGAGTTACCTGCAGCTCAGCTCTTAGCATTGCTTAGGCCTTTGTTAAGCAGGGGAACAGTTTCAGTTGTTTCCCTAGCATAGGCAAGCTCCACTCAACCAGGGTGAGTGGGGTTTGGTTTTGTACAAGCATTATAGGGGAAGGTGGATGAATGGCACGTGGGTTTGTACATTTTCATACCAGTTTTGCGAGGCTCACATAGATCATTGTACCTTTGGCAGCGCTAGGCTGATGTCTTGCTATGGGCCGCCCAGAGGATTTAGGGGGCCTGGGGCAAAGCAGGGGAGCTGTGGCACTTGTACTCACCCGGTGGCAGTCCGGGTCTTTGGCAGCATTTCGGCGGCGGGGGGGGGTTCAGTCGCTCCACGTCTTCGGCAGCACTGAAGGATCCGCCGCCGAAAACCCGGAGCGACTGAAGGGCCCCCTGCCGCCGAAATAATGCCGAAGACCCGGACGGCCGATGGGCCAGGGCTCGCTGAGCCCCTACGGGACCTGGGGCAAATTGCTCCACTTGCCCCCACCTTTGGGCGGCCCTGAAACTTGTGCCTGCTGGTAGATATGCTTGTGCCCAGCTGCTGGTGGACAGATGTCCATACCTCACATGTCCATACCTCACCTTTGCGACTCACTAACCGCAGCGCCGGTGTAGTGGCACAGGAAATTCTGCCAGGGAGCAGTCTGAGTTTGGGCTACTACACGGGCGGTCGAGGCAGAGAGGGCCGGGTCTCTCACTGACGAGGTGGCCCTTTGCCGCCCCGAACGGGCTAACCCCGGCAGGTCTGCGCTATCCCAGCGGCACATTCAGAGCGGGGTCACTCACGAGAGTCAGGGGCGCCCGGCCGGCAGGCTGCGCTGGCTCGTCTCCCTGCGGGTGGGG